TTTCTTTTTTGTTTTCTGATCTGAAAAACATACATGTGGATGATGATCTTCATCGAATTTGTAGACGAATACTTAATTGTTGTTTATTACCAGCCACAATTTTTATTTTCAAGTAGTGGATGATATTTAATTTAGTAGAAACATGACCTATTGGAAAATCAATATATAAAGTGTCATTAACCCTAATAAGATCAATAGTATTTTCGATCCTTAAAATATGTATTTTTATTAGTTTAATTTTTAATATATTTATTTTATTAATTTAATCCCTAAAATATTCAATTCATGTCATTTTGGTCTCTAAATAGACGACCCATTAAATTTTTGATAGAATAATTACTTATTGGACACGTGATACCGTCTAAAAAATAATTCATGATCACTTCAGTCAAAAAATTTAACGGCTTGTTTATGTAGGAACTAAAATGACACAAATTGAATAATTTAGAAACCAAATTAATAAAATTGATATATTAAGGACTAAACTGACAAAAAATATACTTCAAAGATCCAAAATACTATTAACCCTTTAAAAGTATTAGTGTCAAGACAAAAAATCTTTCCGCCGCCACCAAGTTATTCATTTCATTACAAACAACGAGCTTCCCTCTTAAAAACCCTAATCGTCCATCAGTATTGTCATTAAAATAAAAAATATTATTATTTAAACTTAATTTATTAATTTAATTATTTATAACTATTGAATTAACAATAATTCTCAGTATTGGTTAAGACCCGAAACTAATCTCATGATTATGATGAATTAGGATTGTAGAAACTGGTTCGATTCAACAAATAAAAGTTTTGTAGACTCATGCCTTACTTATAAATAAATTAAGTCCAAATAAAATTATTATAAAACAAAACCAATGTGCCATGACACATGGCCGCATTTGATAGGTCAACAAATTAAGTTTTTATTATATTATTGTAAAACAAAACTAATGTGTCATGGCACATGGCCGCATTTGATATGACAGTTTGAACTAAAACATACTCAGATATTCTAATCTAATTCTAAGTGTTTTATTTTGTCAAAGAGAAGGGCCCGACTTGTCGTCCCAATCAAGGCCTGGTTGGACAGATACACGCAAACCAAACTCGACATAGTCAAATACTTTGGACACATATTTTCAGTATTCGAGTAGAATTTAGACAATAAATTCTATCCTTATTTTGAATTCTGGTAGAATTTGAGTTGGGTTTTGAGTAGACCGGTAAACGGATCGGATATAGATCAGATTGATTATATTCGAATTCGAATTCGATTAAATTTTTATTGATCTGATCTGATTCTATTATCCGACGAATTTGAAAAATTCAATTCATATCCAAATTTATTAATTTTTGGATACCTGATTAGAAAATTCGATCCTATTTGATTATTACAAAAAAAATATATGTACACTCAAAATTATTTTGAATAATGAACTAAAAAAAAGAGGAAAAAAAAATAAAAATTTGAAGTATAAGCAAAAGGGAAAATCAAATAAGAGGGAAAAAAAAGAAGGTCATACATTGTAATATTCACTTTATTTTTACTTATTTTTTAGTATAAGTATAATATATGTGTGATATTTATTTACATAATATATTTTTTATTCGGATCGGAATAATAACGAATTAGATTATTATAAATCCATAGCCAAATCTCCTCCTCTTATTTTCCGAATCAAACACACCCTTCATCGGGGTTTAAATGTTCAAAGTGAAATTCGATAATGTATAAAATGTATTTATGCACCACCTATTAAGTATTAAATACAGTAATAAAGAAGGAGAGTCAACACAAGCAAACACAATTTATAAGTATCTCCTAACAGATTGAGACGTTATCCTTGTAATAGGTGAGGTAGTTTGGTGGAGGTGACGTCATTCTCGTAACAAACAAGACAGTTCTGTGGAGGTGGCGACGTGCGCGTCCCACGGAGATCTCCTCTCGTGTCAGTTGTGAATTAGGTCTTGGGGCGGCTGACCTGATTCTCTCAAAATGGCACAGCTAACCTAAACTAGTTTCCTCCATCTTGTTGTGGGTTTGGCCTATATATTTAAAGTGGATCTGGTCGGCGATTTTGAACTGAACCTCTGAGCCGGACCTTCAAAATTAATGTTCCACCTAGAAATAAAAAATATTAGTGTAAAAGGGAAAAAATTTCACCACCACCAAGATAGTCATTTTATCACAACCAACAAGCTTTCCTCTAAAAAAAAATATTTATTATAATAGTGATATCATGTTAGTATTGCCATTAAAACAAAACTAATGTACCATGACACATGGCCCTATTTGATATTTTGTATTAAATTACCCATGATTTGCGTATGCTGCTGATTGCTGGCTATTCATATCAGAGAAGAGTTGAAGGATAGTCTAACTGTAGAAAGGGCGCGACTTGTCATCCCGATCAAGGCCTGGTTGGACGGATACAAGCAAACAACTTGAGATAGTGAATACTTAACACATATTTTCAGTTTTCGAGTAGAGTTTAAACAATAAATTCTAACCTTATTTTGAATTCTAGTAATATTAGGGTTGGGTTATGGGGACTCTATCCGAACTTAATCCGAAATAATAAATTTAGTTTAACTTAAGTTGAATGGTAGTAAGATATAAATTCAACTTCAACTTGACTTTTGGTTTGAGTTGAGTAACCTACAAAAGAGGGATTTTAGGCGACTGCTTGATATTGGGTTTAATTGTGTAATCTAAGAATTTCCTTAAATGATCACAATCGATGAAAAGTAAAGCGATAGCAAAACAAATTAAGTTAGTAAAAGAAATAACAACTTTATTAATCTGAAAAGTTTTGAATTACAAGACTCATGAACAGTCTTGAAGACTAATCCTAATTATAATTCTAACTTAAAACTACTCCTAAAATGTTCAAATCATAGGTCTTTGATTAGTTTAATCGTGTCATCTCCTTGTAATTAATGCCGTTTTTTATAGGCATCTTCTTATTGATGGTTAATTTGGCTTCCTCTAAGCAATTTCTTCTCCGGTCTCTTCCTTGTCTCAACTGCAATTTTTAAATTCTTGGAACCCATTTGATGCTGATGAGTATTGCATTTTCAAATTTCCAGATTTCATTCATTCCCTTTTGAAGGTTGTTACTGTTCTTGAATCTGAGCAAGCCATGTGGACTGACTGTCTCTTCGTTTTATGAAATGTAGAATTTGGTTGAAACAACTGTATATAGATGATGTTGTTGAACGCGGGGGATGTAACAAATTACAAGCTTGGCACAGGAATGTAACCAACATTAAAAATATAATACAATAAGGCCCACGTGCTTGTGGCTCTGAAGCAAGAAGGAAAGAAGGTACAAAGAAGCCTAAAAAATTCCTGAAAATGAGAGAGAGTTAACTACGGTGGGAATCTCAGACGTGGGTTGCGAAAGATCCGGCGAGGCTTCTGCTGATTTGCTCTCCTTTTTAACTTCTCTCTTCTTCATCATCTGTTCATCCATGCCAGCTATCAATGCCCATGCAATCACTAACTGATTAAATATATAGCAACGTCATTAAATCTATATATATACTAGTTTCACATTTCTGGTTTCCCATGGGCCATAGCCATTGGAAATTTTTACTATAATTGTTCTTATTTCTCATATTATTTATTTCTTGAAGTCAAAAATATCTGCAAACCCATCTCCATTCATGAAAGATCAGTGAGTTTGAAGTTTGAACACCTACATATAGAGAGTCCCTCTTCAGCTGTTGTGATTCCATTCCCTCTTTTGCTTGATCAGCTACCCTTAGTTTTCATTTTCCGTGTCAATGGCACTTGCCAAGGACAGAATACCTCATGACTCAAAAATGGGCTTGGTTCAAGCCAACACACATTATGGAAATGCTTTTGGAGGGCCATCAGTTCAAATTTCTGAGCTTTCCTCCTCTGTGCTTTATGGGTTTGAAGATCATCACCACAAGAAACTAGTGTTTGAAGAATTAGGTGACAACAAAAATGTTTCAGTGAGCCATTCCTCTTCACATTCCAGTCCAAGCAGCACAAATTCAACTGGAATTGTGTATCATCAACAGGCTATGAATTACCAACATGAGGAAGCTCATTCTGTAATTAACTTCAAATCTGGGTATCACAGTTACATTCATACTGGTGGATCTGTACTTAGCTTCCAGCAAACTGAAAGGATTAATCCTCAATCCTCTTATCCAACAATGTGTTACCAAGATCAGTACACAAATATCTGGGAAGAAAATTCGAGCCCTGCACCCCAGAGTCAGTTGATCAAGTACCCACGCCTGCTGGGCAGTTTGAATTGTATCCAAACTGCTAGCAACCATGGATCAACGAGCAAAGACAACCACCATGAGGACGAGCCATTTGAGTGGCTCAACACCGACGCAGACGATGTTGATGATGATGATGGCGCTCAGGAGCTCAGATCAGGAGAACCATCCCTCCATAAGCGTATCCATATGGTAATTTCTATTCCCACTTGCATCAATGTTCGTTTTTGTCATTTCTTTCAGGTTTCAATAATCTATGTGACCAAAACCTTAACCAAACTTAACTTTGAAAGCTTTTTCACAGGCAAAACAATTTCATTCTACTCCCATAACCAGTGGCTAATTTCAAGTTTTTTTTTTTGGAATATTGGTGCAGGGAGAGAGCATGCAGCCTTTGAAGAAGCAGTGCACTACAGCTGCAACAAAGAAGCCCAAACCAAAGTCAACTCCAGCAAAGGATCCACAAAGTATTGCAGCCAAGGTTTGCTTCTTTTTCAAGTAATCTTAAAAATCTAGATTTTGATTGCATCTTAAGCAAAAGATCATGAGAAAAGGAAATTTAACCTTGACAGAATGTTTGTGTTGCAGAATCGTAGAGAACGGATCAGTGAACGGCTCAAGATTCTGCAGGACCTCGTCCCCAATGGTTCCAAGGTAGCCTAGGCTTCACAACAATTATATATTCTTCTTGAATTAGTTCTTTTTGCAACGAAAGTATAGGGACTAATTATAAACTTAAATGTCGTGAATTCGATCTTGACAATCTATTGAGGTTATTCTTTTTGAATTTCTTAATCCCGACATGAATGATCAGTTTTTTATCGAACCGAAAAGGGAATTAATTGATGGACTCGTAAACAGGCCCGATCACCCTTGACCGTTGAATAAAAACAAAAAATCTGAGTCAATTCTCTGTTAAATTTTCTCCCTTTTCTCTGTGTGATCTTATGCAGGTTGATTTGGTTACCATGTTAGAAAAAGCTATTAATTATGTCAAGTTTCTCCAATTGCAAGTGAAGGTTAGAATTCGCCCGAAAAAAAAAAAACACTCTTCTGTTTCCAATCTTATTTCAACTTCAATCCTAAGTATTTCAATCTGTGCACTCATGCAGGTATTGGCAACTGATGAATTTTGGCCAGTGCAAGGTGGAAAAGCTCCTGAGCTTTCTCAAGTGAAAGAAGCCATTGATGCCGTCCTTACATCTCAGAGAGACAGCATTTCAAGCTCAAAGTGATGACACTGACAAAGAAGAAGAGAGTACTTGAAAGAGCAAAAATCCTGCCAATGAGAGAAAGAAGAACATCTCAGTGGATAACGATCAATCTTCTTCTTCTTCTTTTTCTTCTTCTTCTTCCTCGGAATAACTTGTAACAATTGTATTTCGACTGCAACAACTCTGAAACCTTGTCCCATTTAATTTTAGATATTCTTCCTTTTTGGTTCTCTCATTTGTCTTAAATAACATTGGATGTGAAGGAAAGTTGTGTCCTTAGATTTGTTCTGACTGAATAACAGAACTTTTATGAGCTGATTACTTTTATTTTCCCTTGGGTATGTAGATGTTTTGAGTGTCGCAACATCAAAATGATGTTTGAGATTAAAGGGCAAATTACAGTTTAATCTCCAACTATTCTCTTATCTCGCATGCATTGTCTCAACTATTGTGTTTCACACATGCCCAACAATAGTTATTAGTCTCACATTATTCCTTTAAGTATATATTTCTCATATTATATCTCTAAGTATAGTAATAGGATTACGTTACTCTAATTTGGATATTTGATCGTTTCTTTTACTAAACATGCATGCAGTCATTTTATGTAAAAATATGAAGGAGATTTTATTTTGGGATAGTGTGAAACCAATTCAAATAATTTAAGGGGGCGATGTAAGAAACTTAATAGCTAAGCAGACAAAGTAAAACCAAAGTAATATTGATATGGTAAAGGTGTAATTTACTCTACAAACAATTCTTGTTGCACCTGCATGAGTTCAGGGATACCACCATGGTTACACAATTGCTTATATGAGCGTCTCCAATTATAATTTAAATTTAAACTCTGATTTAAGTGAAAAACTTGATGGTATAAAGTATTTTAATGGACAAATTCAAATATTTATTCAAACTAGTTAGTGCACACGTGCAACGCATAAACTTCGTCAATATAAAATATTATATTACACATAAATTTCGTCATTTTTAAGTTTTAAGCAATTTCATAACTTTCACTCTAGTGATCAAAATTAATACATTATGAGATCTGGTTCTTTCTTATTTTGAGATGCATCTTATATATTGAGATTCACAAATTGTACCTACAAAAAGTAGATATTTTATGGTATGATAGAGAAAAGGTTTTCAAGAGACAAAGAACTACAAAGTAAATTTGATCTATGAATTATATTATCAATACTATTAGTTCTTGATCAAACAAGAAATCCAACAACAAAGTTAACAAAAAAAAAAAAAGGAGCAATAGTCATTTATTCTTCTAATAAATACCTCGTTATTAAAGGCGTACAACAATGACAAGGGTAGTACCAATTGTTAGTCCAAAATTAATATTAAAAGTTTTTTCATGAAGAAGATATTTTTCATGAAATTGCTTGAAAACCTTATAGAATGAATGATATAAATAATTAATTTTTCAATAAAAAATTAAAGTTAATGGATAAATTATGGAAAGGGTCAACAACTTAAAAGAAACCATGCAGTGCCTTAGTAGTGGTCATATTCAAACTTCATACACATCTGTCAAGTGTATGCATTTACAATTATCTGAGGATCACTTCGAGGTATATCTATTTTCAAATTGCATATGTTCTCTGGTATTAACTATTTTGGTTCAACATTAGCCATTAAAATTTACCACCTCAAATTACTGCTTAAATCTTTTTTGATGACTAATGGCGCATCTCATGAAAACCTTCTAATGGATAACATCACAGTAAACCAAGAAAGAAAAGGGACAAACAATATTATCAAGTTAGGCAAAAAAATAAAAGCTTTCTAGGCACGAAGAAAGTAGTCTCTAAAGCACATTCTCCAAAAATAGTAGAATTCCCCCTAATTGCATTGGTCTAAACAAAAGGTGTGTAGATTGCTCCCCCCAACCAAGATGACTCTCTAATTGGAAACTCATAAATTTTAAGTTTAAAACATTAGCATTGGTTTTGATTTAGTTTTATTATGTCCTAAAGCTTCCACAGAACACACTAAGAAACTCACAACCTCTGGAGGTAGAATTGAATCGAAATAGTTGACTAATTGCACGTTTATGAGAAGGAATAATAGAAAGATAAATTTCATCATACTCCATGGGGGTAGACATGCATATAAAAAAGGGTTGACTTATTGCACCAAGTAAAGATATAACAGTATGGTTGCACATAGATGCTCACAAAGTAGCTAGTGTTGGAAAACTAATGAATGGATTACACATAAATGCACATAATGACGAGGTCAAATATAGAACAAACCATTTTGTCAGTACCATTTGAGTGAAAAACTTGATGGTATAAAGTATTTTAATGGACAAATTCAAATATTTTAAAAAATTCTCTTATTGTCTCAAAACTCTTTTTTTTTTTTATGTCATCTAAATTATGAAATCTAATAAAATAAATAAAACTTTCATATCTCTCCACAAATGAGTAATTCAAAAAAATTGAATATGGATACAACACTATCTTAGAATAAAAATAAATACAAAAAATAAATGTAAATCTCTCTAGAATTTTCAGATTGTTCTAATCTCTTATCTTTTTATGCTAATCTAGATAAAGAAAAAGAAAACAAAAAAAGGTAGTTACTTTGACATGGGTTTGATTTGAAGAACACAAAAAATTGATCATTTTCAACAAAATAGATGATTTCCTAAATTTGTATGTAGTTGAAGGTTTGAAATTTTAGGAAGAATTGATGCCCTGAAATTATACCATCGACAGTGTTTAACTCGAAGAAATAAAAAAAAAAATTGATGGACAGGCTTAAGGTTTATATATTATGAAATATGGGTGAGATTAAGGTTTTGAAAAATGCAAGAAATCAAGAAAATAGAAGATGAAAAGGAAGAAACTTACCTATAGGCCTTCAAAGAATTTGAATGCTTCGTTGGTGGTAGGTAATCGAAACAACGTTGAAGAGAGGTAGAGAACAAGTCGTTGAAGAAGTTTAAACAGACTTTGGATAGAGTAAAAAGTTAAGTTAGAAATTTAATATAGAAGTTGAGTTTCATTCAATTTGAGTCCAGAATAAATTTTATCTTGATTTGATATAGATTTGGGTCAAAGGTTTAAAAAGGTAAAAAGACCATTGACCATTTAGACCTAAATCTAAATTTGCGTCTAAATTAGAATCGAGGTTTAGAATACTCTAAGAAATGCTTAATTATAAACAACTTAAAAGAAGATATAGTTTCTTAAATAGATGAAATCAAAAATAGAGTTCAAATGTATATGAATAAGCATAAATTGCAAAGAGATGACGAAAAATTATTTTGAGGAAGAGTTTTGGAAAACTGTTTTTGGTGTTTTTTTTGTCACAAAATTTGTTTGATTATATAATTCTAAAAATATTTTTATGAAATAGAAAATATCAAAACTTGTTTGAACAGTAATCTAGAAAACAAAAAAAATAGAAATGTGATAGTGGAGGTGGTTGTGGTGGTGTGGTGGACATGATGGTGGAAGTATGGACGTGGTGGTGGTGGCGAAAGTGTGCTGGTGGTGGTAGTGGTGGCGTTGGTGGTGGTGGTGGTCAGTGGCAGAGCCACTAGTAGACTAGGGGGGCATGGGCTCATCCTGAAATTTTTTTAAAAATTACTAACTATATATTTTTAAAAAAATNGTAATTTACTCTACAAACAATTCTTGTTGCACCTGCATCACTTCAGGGATACCACCATGGTTACACAATTGCTTATATGAGCGTCTCCAATTATAATTTAAATTTAAACTCTGATTTAAGTGAAAAACTTGATGGTATAAAGTATTTTAATGGACAAATTCAAATATTTATTCAAACTAGTTACTGCACACGTGCAACGCATAAACTTCGTCAATATAAAATATTATATTACACATAAATTTCATCATTTTTAAGTTTTAAGCAATTTCATAACTTTCACTCTAGTGATCAAAATTAATACATTTACGNTATTTTTTTAGTTATAAAAATTGTGAGAATTAAGTTACATAATCAAATGGGTGAGTAAATTATTTGTATAGAGAAAGATATTCTCCATAGTATGGATAATGAAGTTATCATACAACATCTTTAAAATATGAAAACTCATCAAAATCAATTATAAATAAGTATAATGAGTCTTCATTATTATTTTTTTGTATATCTTATGCANCTGGTTCTTTCTTATTTTGAGATGCATCTTATATATTGAGATTCACAAATTGTACCTACAAAAAGTAGATATTTTATGGTATGATAGAGAAAAGGTTTTCAAGAGACAAAGAACTACAAAGTAAATTTGATCTATGAATTATATTATCAATACTATTAGTTCTTGATCAAACAAGAAATCCAACAACAAAGTTAACAAAAAAAAAAAAAGGAGCAATAGTCATTTATTCTTCTAATAAATACCTCGTTATTAAAGGCGTACAACAATGACAAGGGTAGTACCAATTGTTAGTCCAAAATTAATATTAAAAGTTTTTTCATGAAGAAGATATTTTTCATGAAATTGCTTGAAAACCTTATAGAATGAATGATATAAATAATTAATTTTTCAATAANGTCATTAGGGAATGGCAGAGTGGATTTTGGTGATTATGTGTGTGTGTGTGTGTGTGATATAACTTGGAGCGCTTGGGCTTCAACCACCAAATACCAAGCCCACGTGCATGCTCAATAAATAACAAGTTTACAACCTTGACAGAACTTAATTCAGAGCTAAATTTGAGGCATCTCNCCTTAGTAGTGGTCATATTCAAACTTCATACACATCTGTCAAGTGTATGCATTTACAATTATCTGAGGATCACTTCGAGGTATATCTATTTTCAAATTGCATATGTTCTCTGGTATTAACTGTTTTGGTTCAACATTAGCCATTAAAATTTACCACCTCAAATTACTGCTTAAATCTTTTTTGATGACTAATGGCGCATCTCATGAAAACCTTCTAATGGATAACATCACAGTAAACCAAGAAAGAAAAGGGACAAACAATATTATCAAGTTAGGCAAAAAAATAAAAGCTTTCTAGGCACGAA